GTGTTATTAATGAATACAAATAAGATGCTATTAATAGTCTTTAACAATATTAATAATAATTTAACTGCCTAAATAAGTATCTTATGAGATAATAGAAAGTAGATATTGGTCTCTATCCCTGGTTCAGGCACAAAGTCTTAAAATTCTTATAAATTCCTAAATGCTAAGAGAAACAGGATCATGTTTTGTTTCAATAAAGCAACTCTGGGGAGAGAAGGGCGAGGACTCTGCATGGGCACTGGTTACCAGAAAGAGCAAGTCGTGATTAGAAATTTGGAGTTTTCAGCCTCACTAATCCTCTGGAGAGGTGAGGGGATAACAATGGAATGAATGGTCGACCATGCCTGCATGAGGAAGTCTTCATGAAATCCCAATAGTACAATGTCTGAAGCTCTTCCAGGTTGGCAAACATCAACACTGGGAATGTGACACACCTCGACGCGGTGGGGACAAAAGGCCCTGTGCCCAGAACCTTCTCAGACCTCACCTCACTCCACGTAACTCTTCATCTGCCTCCTTTATCATATCTTTTAATAAACTGACAAATGTAAAAAGTGTTTCCCTGAGTCCTGTGAGCCACTCTAGGAAATTCATTGAACCTAAGAAGGGGGTCACAGAAACTTCCCATCTAGAGCCCTCTGATCAGAGGCACAGGTGAAGCGTGCACGTGTGTGTGTGTGTGCAATCTTGTGGGAATGAGCCCCTAACCTTTGAGAGCTGGCTCTGTCTCCAGGTAGACAGTGTCCGAATTGAGTTAAATTATAGGAAACCCAGCTGGTGTTGCAGAGAATTGCTTGGTGTGGGTTAAAACCTCCACACACTTGGTGACTAGAAGTGAAGTGTTTTGTGTGCGTAGTAAAGGAAATTCACAGGGAAGAAAGACAAAGTAGGGGAGAATAAGGTTTTCTATACATTGGAGGAGGAAGATATTGAATTTTCCTTTATAACTAGACTAACTGAATGCTTTATAATAACATAGTTCTGGTTTAAAAGCATCAATGAATGATATGATTAATGTCTAGATGTCTGGTTTTAAAAACAGATATCAAAGGAAGAATGATATCAATCTCCTAAATTTGCCAAATCATAAAAATGTGAAAACTATCTTATACTTGAAGTGATATTGACAAATACTTTTATAGAGAGTTACATTTTTTAGTTATATTCATTATCTCCACCGCTCCCCATAATAGCTCAAGAGTTAGTTCTGAGATTACAGAAATAAATTACAGATTATTTGTATGTGGAAACCAAGGCTACAATATATTGACATGACTTGTCCATGGTTACACAGTGATAATTGGTAGAGCAAACATTAAGCTACTCTGGGTTCATGAGAAATTTATTTGACATGTATATAAATGAGCTCAAGTTAAGTTTTTCTTCCATTTTCACAAGCAGGCTTTTCATACAACCATCTCTCCCCATCTAGTGTGATCAATCTACAGAGTACAAGCCTATACTATAGAACACTTATTCAGTAAATGACATTTCTAAGAATTTTCTAGTAATCCCCAAATAAGAAGGACATGATGACATTAGCATTATGTTTGCAATGTTGCTCAAGAACACAGCATTCCATGTAAAGTAGAAAGCCAGTTTCCTCCTTCAAGGAAATAAAGAAGGAAGGGATGAAGTAGAAGATAGGAAATGGAAAGAAAGAAAGGAAGAAAGAAAGAAAGAAAGAAAGAAAGAAAGAAAGAAAGAAAGAAAGAAAGAAAGAAAGAGGATTTTTTCTTTTTATGAATAAGATTCAAAACGTTCAATGGCAACTCCAGTCAATCATGCCATAACATGGAAATGAATTTAGCTGAACATTTACTTCACATTTTGCAGATATTTTCCATCTCCATTTTTTACTTATTAATATTGGAATAACTTCAGTTTAGTACCACCTGCTAATTTTATCCCAGTAACATGTATAGCCTCAAAATCATCACCAAAGTGTTAAGGTAGACCTACAAATCCCAAAATGATTAGAGTATTGCTTTAGTCCATCTGCAGGCCATGATAAAAGTTAGTTTAACTTCATAATTCACCATCTTCTTAAGTAATGGCAGCAAGTAGTGCAATAGTAGATGTGATTATTTTACAATCATCTTAGTTTGGAATGTTTCTTTTTCCTATTAAAATAATAGGTACTATTTTTAAACTGTTTCTAATAGTCTACTCTTCTTATTTATTTACACACTAGAGGCCCAGTGCATGGATCCATGCACTGGTGGGGGGTGTGGCCTGCAGGGATCAGCCCACTATGGGAGTGCCACTCATCCCGGTCAGCTGAGCGGCTGTGAACTTGCCCACTGAGCAGCTGTTCCGCTGTGGAAGCACCGCTCATGTCAGTCAGCCAAGTGGCACTCCCACTGTGGGAGTACACTCACCGCCAGTGGGCAGCTCCTGCATTGAGTGCCTGCCCCCTGGTGGTCAGTGTGCATCATAGCGACTGGTCATTGTGGTTGTTCCGCCATTCTGTTGCTGGGCTCATATATATATATACTAGTAGCTTGGTGCACAAAAATTTGTGCACTCGGGGATGGGGGGGTGTCTCTAGCCCGGCCTGTGCCCTCTCGCAGTCTGGGACCCCTTGGGAGATAATGACCTGCTGGCTTAAGCCTGCTCCTGGCTGGCAGAGGGCAGGCCCAATCCCTAGGTGCAGGCCCTGGTCGGGCTCAGAGCAGGGGCGATTGGGGAGTTGGGGCATCGCCACCTCTGC